CAGAGACATGAGCAACTCTGATTTTTCTTCCTGCGACATGTCCCCACCAACTGTCATAATGATTGTCCATATCAAGGACTTTCGGGGAACTGTTTTCTCTCCCATCTTGATAATCTTGACTTTCAAAAGGTGAATGATGGATTTCAGTCTGTCTTCTGTCACTCCGATCATGCTCTTGCACTTCAGCATGTGCCTCAGCAAAGTCTCATGCTGCCCTGATTGTTTCAGCAAACATCCATGCTGACGTAGCTCGCGGGGGAGGTCGTTGCCACAGCCTGGAGCCAGTGTCAGTCAGCTGACATGGGTCTCATTCAACTTCCATTCTAGTCACAGACCACCACCGTAGTCATGTGTCATAAAATGGTCGAACAAAAAATGACGTATCAAAGCTCAGAAACAAAACTGGAAGGGGACACCGGCAAATTCCTCGCTGTCATCAGTTTCCACGCCCTTGCTCAAGCCCTGGCAATGCAAGAACTGAAAGCGACCTTTAAAGTAGCAGCGTGAGTATCAATGTTTGTTGGAGACTTGAAATAAACATCATCTCCCAGAGTGACCTGATCCAGAACCCACCCAATGGCAGTGTACTCAACAAAGCCCAGGCAAACCAGAATTGTGTTGTCCTGCTTCCTGAAGTACAACAAGCCCCGCTGCAATGTGCAGCCAGCCCACAAGGTTGATAGTCCGCTGTAGTAGAAGTCTCGGCAATAGAGAAGCGCAGAGAGAGATGCGACGGCTTTCTCATCCGTCTCTGTGCCGGCTGGCTTTGAATCCTGTCAAGTTCAAGTTGCGGCTGTCTGTGCGGCTGGGCAGCAGTCGCAGAGTCTTATATATTTTAATAATAATATGAATGTCAGGTCAGACACACATATTTTTGAAAAATAACAATATAGATACTACATTAATAAGTCAATACTGACTGACTCGTCGACCGACTCAACGACCGTCTCCTCAAGAAAGTCAGATTGCGACATTAGCCTGTCGATGGCTTGCTGCACCACAGTTGACTCGGTCCATTGGTCACTGGCCAACTTTCGTGGAACAAAGGAGTCTACCGTGATTTGATGCTTCCCCCCCAAAGAGGGCAATATCGTTCTGTTGAAGCTTGAGAACATGAGTTGGCACACTCTTCAATCTCTCAGACGTGGAAGCAACGAACATAGCTCTGTTCAAGCGGATGTCTTTCCTTCGATTGCTTCGGGATGTGTTGGCCAGTTCCTGGAGTATGTCCTCCTGTGTGGCTTTTGTCGTTGACAGTCCACTGAAGAATCGCCATCTAAATTCCCAAATAGTCGCAAGCTTCCATCCACCACGTTGAGACTTAGCAATGAGGAGTCGTATGAGTCGTATGAGAGGCAGTTTGGGCCACCACAGCAGCTTCAACGCTTCTGACAATGCCTAGGCTCAACCAAAAATAACACACACATAGCTAAAACATTAAGCCACTTGGTCACCAAGACTACTGCAGTTTGCTTGTTATATAGATGCTGTTTGCGTTGGTTTTAAGCTGACAGACAAAACAAAAGCAAAGAAAAGAATTCAATTCTGATCGATGTGCAACACGGTCATCGTGATCAGGATCACGCATGGCGTCTTCGGCTTCTATCAAAGCTCGACCCAATTCCTCAAATCTAGCCAAACAATCTGAAGAGTCTCCACGGTGCTTGCTGAGAATACCCGCAAGCATCTCTGGAAGGGTGTGGGAGTAGTGAAGCATGAACCAAGATCTTTCGGATGCAGTTGCTACTGTCAAACGCCAAAAGATTGCTGCGTTGGA